TTTTTTGTGGAGCCATGTAGAGGTGAATAATTAGGAGGTTGCATTAATTGGGGCGAGTATGGTATAGCATCATTAACTACATCATTTTGATTATTTGCTATTAATATGTACATCCTTTTATGTGAAGCTGTTAACAAATTGTTGGTTACACCATATTTTTATGATCTTTTAGTGTGAGATGATTAATCTCTCTCAGTGGAGAGCCAGGATTGGCTTATGGAACTGTTGCCAAGCTGCTTCTGGTAGACCAGCTAAAGCTTCCCAGTGTTCATGCCAGTGTATAGAGTCATCAAAGAAAGAAAAAATTCAAAAATTCTCAAAAAATTTGCTCCTTCGTGTTTTAATTATTTTTTTCGTTGTACTCTTGATGAGTCAGTTGAGTTATAACCCAAGTATATCCAAAGGTATAGCAATCTTTATTCCTGTGTAATTTATTTGCATTTTGATAGGTGTTGATGAAATAAATGTACAGCAGTCTATGGCTGTGTATTTTGAGATATATACTGAGTCTAATCAGAATGTTTGTTATCATCATTTCATGCTTCTTCTCCTCTTAGCAGGAGATATTGAACTCAATCCAGGACCAGGTCCTATGATTGGTAAACAATGTACTCTAATATGTAAAGCTATTTTTTCATTTTAGATATACTGAAAGCTAAATCAGCAAGTCTTACTGATGCAATGTCTGCTGATCCTGTAAGAATAGCAAATGAACTGTATGCCAAAGAGCTCATACCACGAGAGACCAAACTTGAAATGCATATAGCAGCAGATTCTATTTATACCAAAGCTAGCAAGCTGATGAATGCTATTGAAGGACAATTGGCAGGTTTAGAAGGTTTGGATGATTCTCTCTATTCTAGACAGTATCTGATTAATTTTTGTAAAGTACTTATAAATCAACACTCAAGGAGCCTAGCGGATCTTGTAAAATCTATGTTAGATGAGCTAGGTTAGTGTGTACTCCATAAAAGTTATTTTGTATCTATAAATTTTTGTAAACATACATATATGTGCCCCAATTTTTGCTGCATCAGGCAGTTCTAAAAATATGTATCAAAATGGTGATTGTCAATTCGGCATGCACTAATCGCTGAAGTATTTTAGTGTCTAAATTATTTACATGTACAACATTTGCTATTCCTTTCCCTTTACACTAATATGAATGCATGATGTAGTCTGGTACAAGCAAAAGCACAAAATCTCATAGTTATGTGTACACAACAGAACCACAAATTATTCATTCATTTTATTGCTTATTGAAAGCCATTAGTGTTATTGATGTTGAAAATTTTAGCCAGAAAGAGAATGAGATAACATTACAGGTTTTACTGTAGCGTACCTTTTTTGAGGGCTATAAATTTTGCAGATTTTGCAATTTTTTCCTAAAAACGTGAATTCATTCTGGCCTCAAAATAATAATAATTGTTTACAAGTGGTTGTGATGACATATTTCACTTGAGCATTTCTATAGTAAAAATGGTCTTTTGGACTATTTTTAGCTATTTTTGGGATTGTAGACTTATTGTTCTTTGGATTTTTCCAACTCTGCTGGTCCTTTTTCAGGTCATGTACTTCAGAAAGCAATTTGCAAAATTTACCCTTTTTTAAAATAGAGAACTCAAAATTTATGACCCTCAAAAAAGAGTTCCCTACGATATCTAATGTTAAGGCTCACTGTAATGATGAAAAAGAAAGTGTTCAGAATGATGCAAATGTATGCTACTTTTGTCAAAGATCCTCCTGTGTTTTCTTCTGCTTGCATTGTAATTTTTAAACCAAAAAAGAGGCTGTGTTTGTGGGGAGAAATGATTGTATGAAAACTGGAGTAGGAGTGGAAGGGGTTGGAATTAATTTGGTTGATATAAAATGGGAACCCATCTCAAATACCCTTGTTTGCTGTAGGTTATAAAGTGTTACCCTGTCCCTGAAACTGGCTATTCTATTACCATCAGATAGTCAGTTCAATTATAGGCAAAATAGAGTATGCATGGTGGTAGAAAATTTGCATGGCAGAAGTAAATGAAATATCAATATAATTTTTACATAAATGTGCCGTATTTGCTCGAATAAACGCCCTGCTTAAATAAATTCCTATGACAAATATTTTCTAACTATAGATATGCATATTTTACCCAGTATACATGTATGTGCCTTAGGATTTAGATTGTGCCAGATAGCCTAACTGTTGGAGCACAGTTTGGAATGCTAGAAGGTTGTGTGTTTGAATCCACTTGAGGCTTTTTTGTTTTTTTACCTGATTTTTGTCCTG